CATCGAAAAAAAGATAGGATCTTTCAAATAAAGAAACTTCATTGGAGCATCCCTTGTTAAGATACAGCCCCTTAAAGGGGGTACATAAAATTTGTTTAACAATTTTTTTCACAAGCACTAAACAAGTTACAATATTGAAATTAACCTGACATTTTCTGCTACCAAAAAGACACTTAGCCAGTAATTTATTTGTCTTATTATTTGTTTACCATTTAAAAATTTATTTCCGATAGCCTGTTTTATTCTAACCAGTTTGCAGCAAAAAATTATTCCAGTTTGCATTTATGACGATGTATCTCTGTAGGTGTTCGTATAATGTATAATGAATTGGATAAAGGTAAATAATTGTGATTTCACTTATGTTCGATCTATCAAAGGCATTTGATACCCTAAAGAAAGAATTCATTTTAAATAAGCTAACTACATTGGAAATTCGTGGGAAACTGCTAGACTGGATAGAGTTCTACTTAGGAAACCGTAAATTGTTAGTTGAAATAAACTCTGAAATATAAAAAATGTACCCTATATCTCTCGGGGTTCCTCAGGGTTCTGTTTTGGGACCGTTAATATTCTTGCTTTTTGTAAATGACTTGCCCACACACATATACATGGAGATAACAACATAATGTTTACAGATGATACTACAATAACGGTCACAGGCAGGACTCCGGAGGAGCTTCAAGAGAATACCTTGTCTGTATTCAGTCAAATGAAACAATGGTGCCACAAAAACTCTTTAATTCTTAATGAAGATAAAACGGTATGTTTAAACTTCCATATAAAGAAATTTTTACCAGAGTCAATAAGTAAAGTACTTCCGTTTAAATTTGAAACGCATGCCAAACTATTGGGTACATGGTTGGACTCAAACATGAGCGCTTTGAACATCACATAGACTATGTATGTGAACAAATTAATAAAACTTTTTATGCAATATTTCAGATGATAGACTATTTGGATGAAAAAGGCTTGCTTGATCTTTATTATGCATTCGCTTATTCTCATTTATCTTATATTGTTTTATCACGGGGAAAAGCCACAGAGAGTAATAGGGTGTTTGTGTCCCAAAATAGAATACTTCGTTTAATATTTAATCTAAAAAATATCGAAAGTTGCAAATGTACTACGTTTACAAGGAAGTACCTCTTTGAATTTATTGAACAATCTCAAATTCATTCTCATCACACAAGGAATGACAACTTAAGACTCCCTAGCTACCAGACAACAACTTTCAGAAGGTCTCCTTTGTATAACTGTATTACTATCTATAAAATGCTTTGCCTGAAGAACTAAAATCACAAGCAACATACGAATCGTTAAAAAAAAAAAGTTAAAATATACCTAACAAAAAAGCTCTTTTTTCTCTATTACGGAATTTATCAATAAAACTGTGTGATACAGGTCTGCAAAAATAAATTATTATTATTATTGTTAAATTTTACATTTATATATTTATTGTACGACTTGCCTTGTGTATCTTTTTATGTAATGAAGGTTAATAAATTATTCTAATCTATTCTATTCTATATGCATATTGCTTGACATCAGAATATTATAACCTATACGAAGCTGTAGATAAAGGTTGGGATGCAATTTAAAAAAAATGACCCATGACGTCATAACTTATTCAAAAATGGCGACAAAAATCAAAACTTTACGTCAAAATGTGCACAATTAAAAAATAAAATCGAAGATTTTTTTAATGAATTTGTTCTATACTTTTGCCAATCACTGTACTCATAACAACAGAAAATGTATATTGCTAACAGGTTTCCATTGTCGATGGCTGTAATTGGTTTTTAAATAAAAAAAAATAATGCATGCAGTTGGAATAATCTATAGAGATTAATTTTAAGCTGGTTATTTACTTTTAAGGATTGTCAATAAAGGTTAACAAATAAATACTTTAGGTTTTATTTGATCGAAAGAAGCGTTGTTTCATTTTTAATTAGGTACCTAAATGATTGCTACTAATAATTTTATTAATCATCTGTTAGAAAAGAGCAGAATTAAAATTGTATACGAAAGAAAATTCTTGAGGAAATACGTAAGAAAAACTAAGGGAGGTAGAAAGGCATTTTTCCTACTACCCGATAGAAAAGTGACGCATATCAATTCATTTAATTGTTAGGTCTTATGGAAAGCATGGGCGTCGTTTGGGGGGGGCAAGGGGGGGGCAGTTGCCCCCCCCCCTGGCTTCTACGACTATACAACGCGTAATGGCTGTATGTCACAATACTAAATTAAGTACTAAAATGTAGCCCTAAATATCAAGTTATTAATTTAGTACTAAATTTAGAACTAAAAATATTTTTTTCCTTTTGCAACGATACCAATTTTTAGTACTAAATTAAGTATGGGCGCACGCGCATTGACGTATTATTACGTGAAAATAGCACAGAAATTAAATATTCTTTGTAAATGAGAGAAGAAAATTAAGATGTATTTATTATGACTTTGACACTAATTAACTTGACAATAACTAAATGCAGCAATGCTACTAAAAACCACGAAAAAACCTACAAAATCAAACACAAGCGAAATTTGTCCAAGGCGATAAAGCAATAACAGTTGCTGTGTTGTAAATTGTAAAAAACAGTGTAAATTATATAAATTTTTAGTAGCAAAATGGAAATTAAATCAAAGAAATAAATGGATAGCTGTACAATAAGAAGAAAAAACCTTTATTTTTGTAATAATAACAGTAATACTGGAAATAGTAGACATCAAAAAATTGAAAGGTTTTAAATAAACAAGAAATTATTATTTTACAATGTTGTTCAACATCCCTTAACTCTTAAATGTTGAGCAAGGATTAGATTTCTGCCTTTGATTATTGTATGTGGCTGAAATGATAGGAAACCAATTTTATTCATTAATTTCTATGGGTTCTTTCGAACTAAAAATAAAGAAAATATGAATTACAAACGCAAATTTACCAATTATTTTTGATAATACGTTTTGAGACTACGTTATTATATAATGGTAATTCACCCCCTTATGAGTGAATTTTAACTCCAAAAGCTGAGCTTATGCGGGGAAAGGGACGGCTATTATTATTATTATTATTATTATTTGCCGTGGCGCTCCGGGACGACTTAAAGATGATTAATGGTAACATTTGACAGGTGAGGAAAGCCCGGAAAACCCCACCTACCATCATCAAAAACGGTAAATCATGGTGATTTTATTTTAATAATCTGGATGTCATATCAACAGAAATTAAATTTCTGCTAATATGGCATCCATCAAATCCTATAGAGAACCATGCAAATAAATTCACATGATCTTCCGTATGATCTGAAACCGTGTCTCGTTTTACCAGAAAATTGGCTGACAAATGAATGACACCACCGTAGCCTGCCTATGTTTTATTATTGATTATACTACTTTTATTATAGCTGAAGTACCTAATAAAAATATATAATAAATAATTTTTTCACTTGTTTTACAAATCTATATAATTTTATTAAAATCAACATATATATTTTTTAATTCCATTAAAAATTGTATTGTCAGTATACGCAAATATCGTCCGTTAGTTCATACATTAGTTGGCGCTGCTGTCACGCACAGAGCGAATAATGAATGAAAATAGGCTGCCTGCGCTTTGCATGATGAACGTACATCCAAAAATAATCGCAAAAAACTAAAAAGAAATCATGTTTTCTGTTATCGATTATTTTAGGTAGAGGAAGAAGAAATTAAAAATTGACGAACACTAGCGTCGACGGGTTTGAGTGAGTTTTTTTTTTGTTTTTGTATTTCTATAAATATTTTATTTTTTTATATATTATGTATGGCTCTGTCTCCTTGTTCATATTTTTCTTTTATCTCACACCTTCTATTTGTTTTTTAGAAATATGTGTTTTAAGTTTCTTGTTTTTTTTTATTTTAGTTTTTGTCTTTTTTGTTGGGTTATTTTATTTATTAAAAACTTTTGTTAATTTGTATTGCTCTTTTAGTTTTAAATTTCTCTGTTTTTCAACTAATAAACATTCTAATTTTTTAAAAATTTTGCCCCCCCCCTATAGAATTGTGTAACGACGCCCTTGATGGAAAGTGCTCTATATCACACTCGAATATAATAATAATATAATACTCTCCCTAATTCACCCCCTTACGAGTGAATTTTAACCCCAAAAGCTGGGCTTGTGCGGGGAAAGGAACGGCTATTATTATTATTATTATTATTATTATTATTATTATTATTATTATTATTATTATTATTATTATTATTATTATTATTATTATTATTATTATTATTATTATTATTATTATTATTATTATTATTATTATTATTATTATTATTATTATTATTATTATTATTATTATTATTATTATTATTATTATTATTATTATTATTATTATTATTATTATTATTATTATTATTATTATTATTATTATTATTATTATTATTATTATTTATTATTATTATTATTATTATTATTATTATTATTATTATTATTATTATTATTATTATTATTATTATTATTATTATTATTATTATTATTATTATTATTATTATTATTATTATTATTATTATTATTATTATTATTATTATTATTATTATTATTATTATTATTATTATTATTATTATTATTATTATTATTATTATTATTATTATTATTATTATTATTATTATTATTATTATTATTATTATTATTATTATTATTATTATTATTATTATTATTATTATTATTATTATTATTATTATTATTATTATTATTATTATTATTATTATTATTATTATTATTATTATTATTATTATTATTATTATTATTATTATTATTATTATTATTATTATTATTATTATTATTATTATTATTATTATTATTATTATTATTATTATTATTATTATTATTATTATTATTATTATTATTATTATTATTATTATTATTATTATTATTATTATTATTATTATTATGTTTTGGTATCACTATCTCTAGGATAGGTGGGACAAATGCAAGATCGGCCATGGCAAGATTCTTGCATTTTAATTATATAGAAACGTTTAGGAATGTGCGTACAATAGAGGTAGTGGATAGTATTACTGCCTTTTGGATAATCGCTAATTTATTGGCAATTTCCAGCATCCTCAGATTGTTAGTGAGTGACTTTGGTACTACACCGGTGGAAGATATAATCAACGGGACTACAGACACACTCACCTGGCGCCACATTTGTTGAATTTCCTGCCCAAGTCTCTGGTACTTTGCTTCCTTCTCAGCGTAGTAAGTCAAGATGTTGTGACCATTTGGGATTCCTATGTCAATTAACAAAACTCGTTTTCTTGATTTATCAACGATGATGATGTCTGGCCTATTGTGGACTATAGTACGGTCTGTTAGTACCGACCTATCCCAGTACAACTTATGCGTAGAGTTTTCCAAGACAGGACTAGGCTCGTACTTGTAATATGGTATCTCTTCGCTCAGGAGGCCATGTAAGCAAGCCAAACTTTGATGGACAATCTTAGCTACCTGATTGTGTCTCGAGAGATATTCCCTTGGCACTAGTATTGGGCAAGCGCTTGTTATGTGTTGGATGGTCTCGGATTGTTGATGACATTTTCTGCACAAGTCATTTTCCACTTGAGCCCTTATTATGTACTTAAGGTAGTTTTTGGTGGCAATAACTTGGTCTTGGATCGCTATCATGAATCCCTCTGTCTCTGCAAATATGTCGGCTCGTCCTAACCATCCATTCGAGGCCTTAGAGTCGACATAGGGTTGGCTGAGGAGGCTTGCATGACGACCATGTAGAGGTTTGGAAGTCCAGTCCTGTTTCTTCCCTTGTATATAAGTCTCATCCGAGACTAATTCTCTAGTATCATGAGATAGGTCCAAGGGTGTGTATCTGTTGTCTGCTTTTATTACGGCTTGGTAGAGGGCGCCGTCCTGTTTCTTGAAATATTTTTGCAATCGCTGGGTCTGTTTTTGACACATCCTGTCGATATCGATCATCGCGCGTCCTCCATCTTGGCGGGGAAGAGTTAATCGTTCCAGTGCTGACTTAGGATGAAGTATTCGATTTTTTGTTAGAAGCTTACGTGTGGCTCTCTCAATGTCCCTGATTTCCGTTTTTGTCCACTTCACCACTCCAAACGTATAAGTCAGAACTGGAATGGCAAACGTATTTATGGCCTTAAATACATTTTTACCATTTAAGGAGGTCCTGAGGATATCGCCTATTCTTTTCAGATATTGCTCCGTTACTCGGTGTCGAATCTCCTTGTGTTTTACACGTTCTGTTTGTTGAAGGCCTAGATATTTATATGTGTCATCTTTATCCATCGCGGCAATAGAGCCTTCATTAATTAGGTCAAATCCATGAAGAATCACCTGACCCTTATCGATACTTAGTCTTCTACATTTGTCCAGCCCAAAAGACATCCGAATGTCGTTGGAAAAACTCTCTGTTAGTTGTAGCAAATTAGTTATATGGGTCTCAGTGGAACCGTACAGCTTAATGTCGTCCATATATAGTAGGTGGCTAAGTCTATACTGTATTGCGTTTTCTCCTTTAATAAGAAAACCATACCTAGTACTATTGAGAAGAGTGGACAGTGGGTTTAGTGCTAAACAAAACCACAATGGACTAAGACTATCTCCTTGGAAAATTCCTCTTTTGATTGGGATAATCTGAGACTGTATAGTACCCTCGTTGTGAAAAAGATACAGAGTGGTCTCCCATGATGACATCATATGTTTTAGTGTTTTAACTATGATTGGTGCTACTTTGTATATTTCTAAGACCCTAATAAGCCAAGAATGAGGCACACTGTCAAAGGCCTTTTGATAGTCAATGAAGGCTGTAAATATGTTTCTCTGTTTATGGTAGGCTTGCTCCATTACCACTGCATCAATGCTGAGTTGTTCTTTACATCCCTGGGAGTTTTTGATGCATCCTTTTTGCTCTATGGCCAACACAGAGTTCTGATTTAGATGTTGGTATATTCTATCAGCTATACACGCAGTCATTAATTTATACAGAGTGCAGAGGCAAGTGATGGGACGGTATTTAGAGGGATCTTGTGTGTTGTTTTCATCTTTGGGAAGTAGAAACGTCTTACCCCTAGTAAAATACCAGGGGATTTGTTGTGGGGACTGGAGGAATTTTACAAAATATGTTGCCACATATGGGTGGATACAACTAAACCTCTTTAACCAAAAGTTATGAATACCGTCTGGGCCTGTGGATTTCCAGTTTTGGGTTTTGTTCACTGCTAAAGTGACATCCCGTGCTGAAAATTCCACATTATCCATGCCAGGTATTTCAGATACTCTTTCTTCTTCAGATGTTATCCATGTTGCATTTTCTTCATGTTCAATTTCATCCGTCCATATTTTGCTCCAAAAGTCTACTATTTCTTCTTGGGATGGTGGTTGCATTATATTTATATTTCCATTTCTTAATCCTCTGTAGAAAACTTTCTCGTTCCGTTGGAATAGGGTGTTATGTTCCCTTCGTTTAGTTGATTTTCTATACCTGCGCAGTTTATTTGTCTTTACTGAAAGCTTCTGGCGCAGAGTATCCATTAAAAGTTCTGGAGTGTTATTCGGAGGATCCTGTTGGGTATGAATCGTCATGTTGCTCTCCAGTTTTCGATAGAAGCCTATTATTTTACGACTTCTGTTTCCCGCTATGTATTGTGTTAATCTGCCTATCTGAACTCTTAGTTGTTCTATGTCGCGAGATATGCGATGGTCCCAAGCAGGTTTTTTCTTTTCTGGTCTAGAACCCTGTTTCGATGTATTTGTTTTTCCTCCAGTATGTCGAACGACTGCAGTAGCTGCGCTATAAATTATGGTCTGGAGGTCTTCAATTATTATTATTATTATTATTATTATTATTATTATTATTATTATTATTATTATTATTATTATTATTATTATTATTATTATTATTATTATTATTATTATTATTATTATTATTATTATTATTATTATTATTATTATTATTATTATTATTATTATTATTATTATTATTATTATTATTATTATTATTATTATTATTATTATTATTATTATTATTATTATTATTATTATTATTTTTTTTTTTTTTTTTAATTTGGTGTCTCGGCGTCGACTACTACGGCCATTAGCCTCGTGTTCTGTGTAGGCTTTGTTACTGTTTCCCAGCGCCACTTTAGGAACAGCACTGTTAATTAGAACCCAACAGTGAATGGTCGAGTGGGGAATTCTACCAAGGCATCAGAATTAATTTTAAATAATTAAATTAAATGAAAAAATCCCGGCCAACGGTGGGATTCGAACCTGAGACCTTCCGATCTCAAAGTCATGACTCTAACCACTGAGCCAACCCACCCCCCTATTATTATTATTATTATTATTATTATTATTATTATTATTATTATTATTATTATTATTATTATTATTATTATTATTATTATTATTATTATTATTATTATTATTATTATTATTATTATTATTATTATTATTATTATTATTATTATTATTATTATTATTATTATTATTATTATTATTATTATTATTATTATTATTATTATTATTATTATTATTATTATTATTATTATTATTATTATTATTATTATTATTATTATTATTATTATTATTATTATTATTATTATTATTATTATTATTATTATTATTATTATTATTATTATTATTATTATTATTATTATTATTATTATTATTATTATTATTATTATTATTATTATTATTATTATTATTATTATTATTATTATTATTATTATTATTATTATTATTATTATTATTATTATTATTATTATTATTATTATTATTATTATTATTATTATTATTATTATTATTATTATTATTATTATTATTATTATTATTATTATTATTATTATTATTATTATTATTATTATTATTATTATTATTATTATTATTATTATTATTATTATTATTATTATTATTATTATTATTATTATTATTATTATTATTATTATTATTATTATTATTATTATTATTATTATTATTATTATTATTATTATTATTATTATTATTATTATTATTATTATTATTATTATTATTATTATTATTATTATTATTATTATTATTATTATTATTATTATTATTATTATTATTATTATTATTATTATTATTATTATTATTATTATTATTATTATTATTATTATTATTATTATTATTATTATTATTATTATTATTATTATTATTATTATTATTATTATTATTATTATTATTATTATTATTATTATTATTATTATTATTATTATTATTATTATTATTATTATTATTATTATTATTATTATTATTATTATTATGTTGGTGGAATAGTTTTCACAGTTAGTCGTGTGTCTAGTGTGTCTGATATCAAACTGTATTTTCGGTTGTTTCAAAGCCGTTTAAATTAACTAAAAGTGCATTACAGTGTAGCCGAAAAGTGCATAGCCAAGTGATAGTGTTATCAAATCGAAGAAATCACAATTTATCAAAACATATGAAATTTTACTGGTTTTTAATGTGATAAATTCATTAGATTCAGTAGTGCTTTATTGTAATTAGACATTTCTTCATATCGGCAAACTGTTTTTCAAATTGTTTTTACACGCTGACCCGTGTTCATTCCACCACAACTATAATTAAGTGAACTTTTAATTTAAAGTATTCGCAATTTGTAATTTATTTTGCAAAGAACTTGTTTCAGTGATCTTTTAAGTGTTTTGTTGTGACTCTCAATCATTGGCAAGTATTTAATATCGTTTCTAAACGTTTTGTAAGATTTAATTCATTAAAATCTGCCATTGTTTTGATAAAAACCTGCTTTGGGCGGAGGTTATCCCACTAGTGGTTAATTGTATTTTATTAAATTAAACAGCAACATCATGAGTGAGTCGATCAAATGTGTTTTACCTTGTCTAAGGTGTAAAAATACGGTAACCACTGGCATTAAATGTATTCAATGTGGTAGATTATCTCACAAAAGCTGTCTGGAAATTCTAAAAATCACGCTTTTAAGTAAAGAAACTGTAAATTGCTGTAATCAAAGTGCAACGACTAAGAATACAAATATTAAAAAGACTGAAATACCTACATCATTTCAACAGATAGACGGTAATGAATCTATGCGAGTGTCGTATTTAGAGAGAATTATCCGAGACAAAGAATCGATTATAGAAAATTTGCATTTTACTTTAGAAGCATTAAAAGAGCAATTAGATTTATTGAAAGCTTATAAATCATCTACTTCCGAAGGTTTTCAATCTCAAATACATCAGGACAGAAGTAAGCCATCGAATAGTTCAGGCCTTTCTGAATCTCATCGATCGGAATTAAAGAGTATGCAAAATCATACAGAACAAAACTTTAAATTACCAAAAACTGATATAATAGGAGTTAAACCTAATAATCCTATCACTAAAACTGCATTAGCAACTGCTCTCTACAATGAGGAATCAAAAAACACTCTCACATCAATAATCAATCTTGAAAAAGACGTTAGACCTAAGGCTTTACTGGTAGGCTCGTTAGAAGGAAACACTAGTGATGGTACCTTGAGAGCTTCTGACTTTGTAAAAACCTCTGAGTTTCATTACCATGCAACAAATTTTGCTCCTGATGTGTCTTCAGAAAATCTACAAAAGCATCTAAAGAAATTTGCTCCAAATGTAAAGGTTCAAAAACTGAACTCACGAAATCCCCAAAAATACTCCTCATTTAAGATATCTCTGCCATCTCTTGAATCTGAGGCTATCATGGATAGTAAAATTTGGCCATATAAAGTTTTTCTTAATCGGTTTTTTCCATCTAGGAAATTTAAATCACAAACAGATTAGCGTTCCTTTAAATGATTTGCATATTTCGCATTTGTCTGAAGTTAATAGGTGTTCCGTACTTCACATCAACGTTCAAAGCCTAGCTAATAAAACAGATGAACTACAACTATATTTAAATAAACAAAAAATTGACATTTTATGTATCTCAGAACACTGGCTCCCATATCCCCATTTAGGCCTCATAAAAATTAATGGCTATAACCTAGTTTCATCCTTCTGTCGCGAAGAAGGAAAACATGGTGGGGTCGCGATCTACTCAACTACAAATGTTAATGTAACAAATGTTGACTGCTCGAAGTTTTCTGTATCCGTCCACGCGGAATTTTGCGGAGTTGAAATTGCCAATGAAAGCAGTGTTTTAATCACGACATACAGGTCATCTAGTAATGGCGACGTGAGAATTTTTAAAGACAAATTACATAGATTGTTATTTGATATGTCTAAAAAATATAAATTTATAAGTGTGCTGGGCGATCTTAATTGTGACCTTGATGGAAATACGGAACACGCTAAAGATATTCGTAATTTTGCAGCAATGTATGGTTTACGACATTTTATTCACGTTCCCACACGCATTACACCTACATCCAGATCAAAGCTTGACAACATATTAAGTAATATACACCCTTACGAAATTTCAACTGGAACTGTAGATTTGGATATAGCTGATCACTGTGGTATTTATATGACTATTAATAATAAAAAAACTAATAATAGTATCAAACATACAAGGCGTAATATAAATTCGAGAACTTTAGAAAATTTTGCGAAATCTATTTTAGATATAAATTGGAGTGATCTGAAACTTGAGCTCTTACAAGCTAACGAAATGTGCAAAAAAATATTGGAAATTTTTAAAGACAACAGCGACAGCTGCTTTCCCACTAAATACTGCCAGATACGAAATAAAGGGAGAGAGTGGTACAATCGGGAGCTTCGTGTACAGAGAAGGGAAGTATTCTCAATGAAAGCACGTTTTAATAAATCCAATTCAATTATTGATTGGAATCTTTATAGAGAAACACGCAGCAGCTATAAACGGGCCTTAAGAAAAACAAAGCGTGATTATTTTAAAAATCTGATTGAGAAATCAGATAACAAAAGTAAAGTTGTATGGGAAATCGTTAACGCTGAGAGAAATGCTAGTAATAGCAAACGTACAACATCAACGCTCTCTCCTGAGGAGTTAAACTCATTCTTTGTCTCCGTAGCTAACATTATTGTTTCCACTATAAATAACAGTAATATAAGCCCTTATACCTACCTCAATCAGCTGCCGAAACCTAATTTTTCATTTTTTATGCCACCCATTGTCGAGTCTGATGTTAAGCAAGCCATCCTTGCATTAAAGAACTCTAAATCTATAGACTATTATGGTTTAAATAGTTGTATGATGAAAATGACGCTAGAGTCCATCGTTACGCCACTTTGCTTGTTGTTTAACAAATGCTGTGAAGAAGGGTTTTGGCCTGATAAACTTAAAATAAGCAAAGTCGTGCCCATACATAAAAAGGGAGATGCAAACTCTATGGATAACTATAGACCGATCGCAATTGTTCCTATCATAGGCAAAATATTAGAAAAAATTTTAAAAGAAAAATTAATTAATTATTTTGAAGATAAAAATATTCTATCCACACACCAATATGGGTTCAGGAAGCATAGATCCACTGTTAGAGCTCTCTTATCTGTAATTGATGACGTAGTTGATGGCATGGATAATGGTACTAGCACTACGGCCACTATGTGTGACTTATCTAAAGCCTTCGACTGCGTCAGCACTGAGATTTTAATTAAAAAATTAGAATTCTATGGCATTAGAGAAACAATATTAAATTTACTTTCCACTTACCTTCATGACCGAAAACAGTATGTTTCCTTTAACAACTCAGAGTCGTCAATGTCGTCAGTGGAAAGAGGGGTGCCTCAAGGTTCTGTTTTGGGTCCTCTACTTTTTATAGTATACATTAACGATTTACCGAAAGCAATTGAAGGCGCATCTGTAATCCTATTTGCGGATGATACGACTATTCTGACTAAAGACAATGTAGCCTCTAATAGAGAGTGTGTCTCAATGGCCAAAAAGTGGTTTGACACAAACGAACTCAAACTAAACGAAAATAAAAACCAGTCAATTGCTTTTACGTCTAGTAAAGCGACAGAGAAATCGGAGCCAGTACAGCTTCTCGGTGTGACAATAGATGCTGGTCTTAGTTGGAATAGTCATATTGACGTTCTTTGTTCAAGACTTTCTACGCAGTTATTTGCTCTCACACAAATGCGAAATGTACTCAATGCAACACCATTAAAAACGGTTTATTATGGAATATTTCATAGTCAACTTATCTACGGCGCTGTGCTATGGGGAAATTCCAGTCACGCACACAAGGTTTTTGTCCTACAGAAGGCTGCAGTGCGCATTGTTGATGGTGCAGAGTATGATACGCCTTGCAAGGCCCTATTCAAAAAACATCGAATACTGCCTCTGCCATGCGTATACATACTCGAAAATCTAGTCAATATTCACGGTAGTCTTGATAAATATAATAGGCATGCCGATGTTCACGATCATAACACAAGGATCAACAATAATCTAGTGCTCCCGAAATCTAGATTATGTATAACCCAAAAAAATAAATTAAACATCAAAGTTTATAATTTTTTCTTAGAACTGTTTAATAATTTAAATGTTATGTCACAAAATCCAGAAAATAGCTAGAGATTTCTTACTTGAGGAGTGTTTTTATTCAGTTGAGGAATTTCTAAATTTTAAAAAAACTTAATTTACCTATTGTCATTTTAATTTATTTGTAAAAGAACTGTTTGCGATATAAATGTACACTTGAAGTGTTTTGTTTTTAGTATTTGTCTATTTATGTATTTTATTTTTTATATGGTACCTATTTGTTTTTTATTGTACATTTAAATATTTTTTTAACTATTGACAATTTTATTTTTATCTTCTATTAATTTGATTGACTGACTATATGATATATTTTAATGTGTAATTGTAATTTGAATTTTAGACGTTGTGACCCTTATGTACTATTGTTGTATGAATTTCTGGTCAATAAATATCTATCTATCTATTATTATTATTATTATTATTATTATTATTATTATTATTATTATTATTATTATTATTATTATTATTATTATTATTATTATTATTATTATTATTATTATTATTATTATTATTATTATTATTATTATTATTATTATTATTATTATTATTATTATTATTATTATTATTATTATTATTATTATTATTATTATTATTATTATTATTATTATTATTATTATTATTATTATTATTATTATTATTATTATTATTATTATTATTATTATTATTATTATTATTATTATTATTATTATTATTATTATTATTATTATTATTATTATTATTATTATTATTATTATTATTATTATTATTATTATTATTATTATTATTATTATTATTATTATTATTATTATTATTATTATTATTATTATTATTATTATTATTATTATTATTATTATTATTATTATTATTATTATTATTATTATTATTATTATTATTATTATTATTATTATTATTATTATTATTATTATTATTATTATTATTATTATTATTATTATTATTATTATTATTATTATTATTATTATTATTATTATTATTATTATTATTATTATTATTATTATTATTATTATTATTATTATTATTATTATTATTATTATTATTATTATTATTATTATTATTATTATTATTATTATTATTATTATTATTATTATTATTATTATTATTATTATTATTATTATTATTATTATTATTATTATTATTATTATTATTATTATTATTATTATTATTATTATTATTATTATTATTATTATTATTATTATTATTATTATTATTATTATTATTATTATTATTATTATTATTATTATTATTATTATTATTATTATTATTATTATTATTATTATTATTATTATTATTATTATTATTATTATTATTATTATTATTATTATTATTATTATTATTATTATTATTATTATTATTATTATTATTATTATTATTATTATTATTATTATTATTATTATTATTATTATTATTATTATTATTATTATTATTATTATTATTATTATTATTATTATTATTATTATTATTATTATTATTATTATTATTATTATTATTATTATTATTATTATTATTATTATTATTATTATTATTATTATTATTATTATTATTATTATTATTATTATTATTATTATTATTATTATTATTATTATTATTATTATTATTATTATTATTATTATTATTATTATTATTATTATTATTATTATTATTATTATTATTATTATTATTATTATTATTATTATTATTATTATTATTATTATTATTATTATTATTATTATTATTATTATTATTATTATTATTGGCCGTGGCGCTCCAGAGCGACTTAAAGATGATTGATGGTGCCATTTGACTTACAGGTGAGGAAAACCCGGAAAATCTCACCCACCATCATATGACTTCTTTCCGCATTATCTATCAAATATGTCAAATTCATTATTATACTCTTCACACTTGTAGTCTGTCTGTGAAGAGTATAATATTTTTATGTTATGTTATTTTGGGAATGGAGTGTTAATACCCTGCGACCTAAAAGACTTATTGTGTCCCCTTCTATAGCTAATGCAGCAAGGAAATGTCTCCATGCCTATAACCACCCTTCCAATCCTATCTTCTCAAGGAAGTGTCGGATTTGGAGTGGCTTCAAGTTAGGCAAATCTCCCTCTTTTATTTGATATGCTCCTAGGTATACTAACCTTGGATTATGGAGTGCTACACATTCAGACAGTATGTGAATGGAGGTTTCGTCCTCCTCCTCACAGAAGCTGCCCTCACTATCTTCTATTAATCTCAGTTTATAGTTTTACTATAACCGAGTGGCACAAAATTGATCGAAAATGTTTGATCGAAAAAACATTTTATCGAATTACAATTGATAGAAAAGAAAAATGATCGAAAAGATCAATAATCGAAAAGAAAATTAATCGAAAAGAAAATTAATCGAAAATATATTTGATACAGAAAGCAATTGATCGAAAAACCAAATATACATAAAATTAGAAAAATAAAAAATCAACTACTTTACCTAACCTGTGCAAGGGCGTAGATAAGGGGGGTAATGGGGGTAATTACCCCCCCCCTCCCCAAGCCATAGTCAACCGATAACCGTTATATTAAACAAAAATGGAAAGATAAAATAAATACAATGAAACAAAGAGTTTCTCAAACATTGTCATCTAAAATAATAATATTCCTGCAAATTCAAAATTAAAATTTATATGCAGGGTCCCATTAGTTCGTAAATGTTCAATATTTTAATTTTTTTTATTGGCAAGCAAACAAGTTTTAATAAAATAAACAAATAAAAATGTATGTTTTTTAAATAGAACACCCTATATTTTATTTTATTTTTAGAATGGCTTGGGAATACTATATTTAACCCTAGAATATTACCATGTTGCCAAACAATTTTTTTTTTTAATTAGAGTATGATGCAGACCCCAAATTAAATTATCATAATTTAGGTAGCTTTACATTAATTTCAAAATTGTTTAATATACAAACATAAAATACTAAGCTAACGAATAGAGGTAATACAACTGGTTTATTCTATACAGAGTGTTATGAAACGTCTTAAATATGGCTAATTTTAAGTTCAATTTACTCCATTTTTTAAATGGAATGCCCTGTATTAATTAATTGGTGGTATGACACATAGGGTATTCCATTTAAAAAAATGAGAAAATCGTTACCCCTCATTTGGAAACACCCTACATAGCAAATAAATGAAGTCTATTAAAGTTGTTTGAAGATGGGAAAACGAATATAAAAATGTATAAGTTTGGTCAGCCCTTCGTTTATGGACCACCCTGTATATTTAAGATTATTTATTAAACATGGTCATACAACTATATTATTTTGTTTTCCTATTTTCAATAATAAAACATCTATCGATCAATTACGCACTATTGGGACATGTTTGTATCGTTTAATAGGTAAATTTATAAGGAATTTTATGCGTAAATAATATACAGTATGTTGCATTTGACAAAATTGAGTTAATTGAACTTAAAATTAGCCATATTTAAGACATGTTTCAAAACACTCTGTATAAAATAAATCAGTTCTAGCACCTCGGAAATGGAATAGTCTACAAAGATCAACCAGAAGTTCCTTTTTTGTGACAAATGACGTAAGAAATATTTATTAATCTTAAGATTTATGAAATGTAGGGTGTTCAAAAAGTTTTGAATAAAATTGTTTCTTCCCACATAACATCAATGATCTATGAATATACCATAAGAACGTTCTGTTTAAGTTCTTTTTAGTATATCCTTTTAGAATGTTCTTAGAACATACCTAGAATATACTTTGAAATATTCTAGAAAGTATATACTGAGTACGTGCCTTAAAAGTATATTCCAAAAAGTATATATACTGAGCACGTGCTATAACAGGACATTCTTAGAAGATACTAAAAGTCATATACCCAGCATGTACCTCATATTCTGAGAATGTTCTAAATGCTTGCAGGTAAAAATTAACACCAAATACATGTAAAAACAAGTTTATATACATATCTATATGAATTTTTCCCAGATGCCGATCTAATAATTCGCTACCAAAAGCACTAATGTTGAATGTTTAGGCCAAAACACATTCTCAAACTAAAATAGAAGAAAAGAAGAAGAAGAATAACATAACCCACAATTCTACAATTCCTACAAATTTTTTTGAACTCGTTTGTTTGTAAGAGGTAAGTCAATTAATAAAAATTAATTGCATCGTATGTTATATAATGAAAATAAACAAATTTTACTATATTTATAGTTTTTAGAACCTATAAGTGACGTTAGAACACAGGATATCCCAAATATTAATTGCCAGTGTGAATTTAGTAATATAGTTAATACTAATGGTGGATTGAAACTAAAATAGTGTTACCAGAATTACATACACACTTTCTATGAAAAAAATCCTGTAAGGCCAGATATTGACCTGGAAGAACTAGAAAAGTTAGCTAAAGGAGGACGAAAACTACAAAATATGGTGGTAAGATTAACAAAAATATATTTAAACTTTCAATAAACATCATAATCATTTATGTAACTCTTGTTTTTGTTAGTGGAATGCCATGTACAATTTTTAATGTTTTATGTTCGACAAAAATATTTAAAATATTCCATTAGCTATGTACACTTAATTTGTATATGTACCAAGTTTGTTAATTTTTTTTATTTTTTAGGTTCAATGAAGATCCAATGGAATCAAGCAAACGAAACTCAAGACATTGATACGATAAAATATTGATTGGTTAAGGCCAAAGATAGTATTTGTAATAAAAATAAGTATGAATTCTTTGAAATAAAGACTCATTATATACACTTATTCTTTTAAGGTGTGTAGTATATGCCTAGCATATGCTATATTTAAATACTTAGTATATACTTAGAACGTACTATCAAATTAAAGTAGATACCTGTTGCATACTGTACACATACTTGAAGTACATTCTCAGTATCTGCATAGCACGTATGAACAACGTCACGTAGCATATGCTTAGCATATTCTGAGAATGTACCAAATGCAAATACAGTATATTTAGAGCATATGCGTATTCTTAAAAAGTATATACTAAGAATATGCTAAGAATGTATAATTGTTATCTGGGTTTATCCCTTCATTCTACGCCAATGGGTTATGGTAATTTATCGAAATAGTGTGTTAACTAATAATAACGATTACCTTTCATATACATATTTTTAGGTTAAAGTCTTTACTGCAAGGGAAGATATTTAGAAAATATGTATTTATGAAATTCACTTTATCACCCTGTAGAATGAAAACTGGAACGTTTATAGGAAAATTATATTTAGCTTTTCTTTATAATCCCCAAAATTACGGTACTTTATTCTGAAACACCCTGTATAAATATATAAAAATTTAAAAACTTCTTTATAAAACTCATTATTTTTTCTGAAAATA